GGAATCTTACCAACAATTCATATAAACTAATTTTAGATGTTTGGAACGTTTGCAGCCGAACGCAAAGATGATCCGCCAGTTTATGGTCTTGTACACAATGAAAACACCTTCAACCAGATCTATCTCCAGGTATAACAAGCTAAGTACTCTCATTTCGTAACTCAGCCAAATCACTACGTTTAAGGCTCATGTTCTTTGGGATATGATCTACTTCAAAGGACAAATGAAGGATGAAAAGGGACAACCACTATTTCCAGGAATAGTCAACAAGGTATCCAGATGAGATCTTTCCTCGCTACTTAAATTCTGATAATTTTCAGATCAAAGCAGCACTTTATCCTCCTGGATGGTTCCCCGGCGTGCCCGTGAGGCCATTTTTCCATTGGCTTAGCCTGGTTGATACCGCCTACGGAGTTCCAGAGGTTTGTAAACAAGAATTGGTATAGACTCACAAATTTCCAAGAAAAACGACATTAAATATTTTAGCCGGAAAAACCTGTAGTCAAGTATAATCCTCCACTGAAATGTACAGTGAAGTTATATATTCTTGGACACTTCATACTACTCCTGGCAATCTTCCTTCATTTCGAGTACGACCGTTTACGTCTAGATTACATAGATTTCACGCTGAAAATCGCCTTCTTCCTCATCACTATGCAAACATTCAGCGCTTTCTTCGACAAACAGTAAGTTCCAACCAAAATGTTTGGTAAAGATTATTTATCTACATTTGTCAATTAAGGTGGTATGCCCCATCGTTGGAGATTTCGCGTTGTGTCGGAGTTGTAGTCTTTTTGTCTCTCAAATTGACGGACAAAATCGGCGTGGGCCCCCATCGTCTGTTTATGATTGGTGTATTTGTCTGTTCAGCGTTGCTTTGGATAGGATGTTGTATTAAAGAGGTTAGTTGGCTTTCTATGCAGAAAAAGAGGATAGATTTTATCAAAGCTGACTAAATACTGATCGATTTACATGTGAAGATTCAAACTGAACATAGTTCCTGAGGTAATACATAACTTGTGATAACTACGAAAAGAAGAAAAAATTAGTTTTGCAGTTGTCCTCTAATCAAGGTCAAAAAGAGAGGAAAGGGGGAG